GTTTTGTAGGTACAGAGTCTTTTGATACCTTTTATTTTGTGAGATTGAAAGTTGACACCCCCACCAATATGTTTTCTTTTATTTATCGGTCAAAGCAATCATCTTCTAAGGTGGACAACTTTACTTAGTTGTTCATTACAGACGTGATTCGTCCTTGTCGAGTAGCTTCCGCCAGTCAGCCCGATCAGTGGCTTGTTGTTGCCAGTTGGTAGTAACAAGCGCCCCCGACAGTCGGAAATATTACTGATAATAGTAACTGAATGTTAGTTACAGTGTCTTTTAATCTTGAATTTCCTAATATTAAAAATGGATAAATGATTTTTTCCTTTTCCCCTTCTGAGCAATCTTTTAGGCTAAAGCACATTGGTGCGATATGCTTTACATATATATACTTAAAACATGATATATATGTATGTTTAAATTTTAGAATGTTATTTATGTAAATTATATATTGGTTAAGAATTTTTTTTACATTTCATTTTATTCATTATGCTTTTCTTTATTTTTATTTTAACTTCTTCAAATAAATACGAAATGGTCAGCGGAATTATAATCAGCATTAAAAGGCAAAGTAGAGAAAAAAGTGGATGCATGTGAGGGAACAGAATTCGGTAGCAGCAGGAGTAGCTTTGTAAACCAAAGATATTGCAATGACGATGTGACAGGAAACAAAAGTTCAGTAGCGGAAAAAATGGGCGAAAAATGTAGGAAATATATTTAATACGAAAAAGTGGTCTCCAATTCCATTTTTTTCAAACAATTTTTTTCTGTCATTACTCCTTTTTTGCAAGTCGCTTGTTTGGTACTGGAATGGATCGTATTACGTACAAGCTGCTACCGGGATGCATTTATGTTTTAGCATCGCGTTTTTCATCGCTATTGCGATGTAAGTATGTGCTTTCATTAAAAAAAAAAGTTCTTTTTATTATTTTTATAAAAATTGGTGAATATATAAAAAACACTAATTTCATAAAAAATGTAAAAACAAAATAAATACTTGCACATATGTAAGTTGAATGAGGCAAATATGCAGTTTGAATGTACATTGTATGTGCGGTAAAAAAAATAATCTTTCTCTGCTATTGTGGGTGGCGGTCGTCGTCTACAAATGACGGTTTCCGTTTTTGAGCATATTAAGCGTAAAGGATAATAATTTTTTCCAGTTAGGAACAAATTAAAAAAAAATTATATGCAAATGCACAATACGAGAAGTATTATTATTACTTATGTTAAATACTTGGAAATAAAAATAATATAAATTACATGCAAGATAAAAGGGATATAATTTAGTGCGCTGTTTTACAATATTTATTATAATTATGAACTGAAAGAACATTGAATTTGATAGAAAGGATAAATTACCGACAAAGAACAAGTAATTAATGTTTTAAGAACTAGAAAGCCTTACCAATATTCTATTAAATCAAAATATATATTAAATATTGATGTTGCTCAGTCGAAGGCTAATTTATTCAGAAGTAAATTTTGTTAACGAATAGTAATATTAATAAAAAAACTTTTTCGTGCCGTTAGTTAGCACTTTTTATTACTTACTTTTCATTTTTTGGTGCTCTAAGTTAGGTTAAGTTATACCGGCGATCTAAAGGGCATTTACCTATTGGCCCATTTTGCTACCGTATAACGGAAAAACTCAGGACTAAAAACCATCTGAAGCTCTTGGCCCTTCTTATTGCTCCCTTCTTATTCTTCTTGTTGCGTGCGGTATAATTGAAGGAGATATTTAATCTTCTAGAATGGTTACTTAATCTACAATGACCTGTAAGTAAATCTGCCACAAGAGTGATAACATTATAGGCCATCTCAATGAGTGCGTTGAATTTCGTTTTAATGGTGGTGGCCAAATTGCATACAGATGGCTACCTCTTCTGGTTTGCTTGTTTGCTTTATAATTCCCCGAAATATTCCTCTGACCGGGGATCTAGACAAGAGAAATATTGAGCTGCGTCGACATCTAGTTTAGAGATGTGTAGCATTCAAAATCCGTCCTAGATGTAAATTAGACAAAGTCAAGAACTTTAAAAAAGCTTGATCAAACATATCATCCACTTTCAAACAAACTATGGCTTCCCTAATGGCGATTACTTGTTTGAAAAACACTTTCAAAAAATGCTTCAAGTTAATATTGTTATTAATTTAAATTGAGTACTGATTTTATGAGTGAGTGAAATAAATAGTTTTACTTCATAATTAAAAGGAAAAGCAAAGTGTTCATATTGCTGCTTAGTTTATTTTAATGAGTTTAAAGAAAGAGCGTTCACATTATTATAAATGAATTTATGCATTTAAAAAAGCTTTTATATGTCAAAAAAGCTATTGAAGAGCTTTCTTTTGTTTATGCATCCATTGTAAAATGTTGTTATATCAGAAAATAAAAAAAATATTCATAGAAAGAAAAGTGGTTATATTTCCAAATTTCTTTGAAAATTATTTATGTTATATTTTTATTTTTTAATTGATCAATTATACATATTTCATTAATAACAAAAAATTTTACTAAATAGTTAGTTTTTCTTTAGTATGCCATTATTATTCGCTTACTTTTGGTTTTATATATCAAATTTCATAAACAGGTTTTTTTTGAAAAGTAGTGAATTACAACAACAAAAATTCATTTTAATATTATATTAATTAATAGAATTTTTGGTGCCCATACAGCTGTTTCGAGTATTGCCAAATACCCATCATCAGTAGTCTTGGAAATAATTTTTGTATTTAATTATTCGTAAATAATTTTTT